ACATTTAGTATATTTTAAAATATTTCTATTATTAAAATGAGATAAATAAATGCCAAAAATTGTTAATTTAAGATTAAGATGAGATCCTTGTGAACCACCAGTTGGAATCAATGTTACAAACCATTTAACGTATTAATTAACATATTAATTTAATAAGACCAAGATATATTAGCGTGATTTAAACGATAAAAGGACAAAATATATCGGCTACTCACTGGTGACCAATTCGTAGATCATTTTCCTTGGCATTCCCCTGTCGCCATCCCTAGCTTTGACAGTCATAACCAAGGTTCCGATGGGATCATCCTCGCGCACCACACCAGTTAGCGAGTCTAGAAATTCCGGCGGGCTGTTCTGAATGTCTGCTACCTTGATTTCTACCCCCGTAGTTTCATTGTTCAGCCCGTCCTGTGAGGAAAATTCACGTATGTAAAAGTCATTCGTAGCCTGACCCCGAGTTACCTTTCTCGCTGTTTAAGGCGAGCGCCGCAATCTGCTCTCCTGTCAGCTATTTTAATCCTGACCATCTCGTCTGTCAGTTAAATTTCACCGGAAGTCCGCCTGTTATAGGTCGAATAAATTAAATCTCGTGGGAACTTTTCAGGACGATGTTAGCTAGTTCTCATTATTTGCAAAAGGCTAAATATCATATAGATCCTTTCTTTCTCTCTTTGGCACAACAGCTTTTCAGAGTGAAATGTCTGCTCTGTGGAGATTTGAATTTATTAGGTTCAAGTGAAATTTATATACATAAATTTAGGTTGAGTTAGGTACGAGTGAAGTGAATTTTCAGAGATATTTCAGAATAGTGAATGTTTGAATTATATTTTCCTTTTACGTTTAGATTAATTATTAAGGGATAGAAAATAGAAAAGAGATATGATGTCTTTACTTTTGTCAAGAAATAAAATTAGTAGTTAGAATATAATTTTTTAAATTATTTGAAATAATAACAATGAGACAGCTAACTGGGCACGTAGATCAGAGACGTTTGTAATTAATTAGCCTATATCCAAAGATATATCTTTTTATATAAACTGGGTAATAAATATGATTATTAAATGATATGATTATTAATAATAATTTTATGATTAATTTATCCTTGATTTTTATTTTTTAATACAGCTAGAGAATAATTTTTGTATTCTTAAATAATGTTTTGCTTTCTTTCAAAAACTAAAATATCAGGAAATAATTAATTTGATAATAATCGATGATAAAGTAAGTACATAATAGCAAAACTGTGTTTCCTGATCCCTCTATAATAGGTAGTAAGCTCCGAAGATAATGTTTATGACCTATAGCAAATATAGTGTTTGCAAATAATAGCAGCCTATTACATAAAAGTTTATGAGCTGCTTTTTAAATATTTATGAATCCAGAACCAACTTCTGTTATTTTAAATTATTATTATATTACACTGTGATAGTTGAATATAATAATAATTAATAATAATACTAATAATAATAATAATAAAATAAACAAAAGTAAAAAAGTAAAATTCATTTCGAATGCTTTTTTTTCATAACAAAATTAAAATCATACTAAATTTATTACGTAAAATTCTAAAATTTCCTTTATAATATTGTCTGTACAATTAAGATGAATTAATGAGTATTGTGGAGATTTTTATATAGCTTATGAAGCTAATAATACATAATTTACCTATTCGAATTTATCGAAATTAATTAGAAAATATATTGAACACAAAGAATAAACCTCTTTTGCATTTCAGTTTTCTATATAATCGACCATCATCCACGACTGGTAAGCCTCCAATTCAAGAAAATATTTGACATTTTTTTTTGTTAAAAATCATCCATATCGAAGAGGCAAAAGCAACCCTCAAAATTGAGGATTGAAATTGTACTTTTTGAAATATTTAAAAAATCAGGAAATTTAGAATTTTAAATTACCTATTTTTGAATGCGGAGTTCAAATATATAAAAAATAAAAAAACATCGTTCCTTTAAATAATACATTGAAAATGTAAAATTCTTTTCGTATTTCTTCCTGTTAAATATTTATACACTTTTGTGTTAATTTGCGTCTGTGAACCATGGATAAAAATGAAAGATAGATATTTTTCAAATTTTTCGTTTCTCGTCGAATAGTAATTAAGTGCACAGTTTTCTTTCATTTCATGTAAAAAATAAAATTCAAATACGTGTTGTAGTGGATGTCATACTTTACTATTTTGTTATATATTATGTAAAATATTTATTTTACACATTATATTTGCAGAATAATTCCAGGATTTAATTTATGCAGAAAAGTGACATGGTTTCATTAAAAAAAAGGTGTAATTATACTTTCCAGATATATTGATATTGTACTGTAGTTAGTAATGGTACAACATTACTTTACTTTTGAATAAAAATGTATTGAAATTTTATTACCAAGTAACATTTATTTAGACAGTTGATTCTTGTTAAATGCTTTAAATAACGAGAAAGTCAGAATAATATTTTATGCTTAAAAACCCGTTTTCTCTTTCAGAAATAAAGCACAAAGACTGAATTATATCAATCAGTTTTTACCATTGCTTGCTTCTCTTGAATGAAACATATATTTTATTTATTTTACTTAAATAAACAAACAAATATTCTGTTTATCGTTAAATTAAATACTTACTAATACATTTTCTACGTGTGCGTGTATGCAAACAGTACATTAAACTGCGTTGAATTTTTTTTACTGTAAAAACATGTTACCATAATAATAATTGCACTTCCAGCCATGAATAAACCTAGTCTCCAGAACTGTACAAAGTCATTTCCAGAACTGTGTAATTAAAATCAATTTTCAAGCTCAGCTCGCAAACCTATTTTCAAGCGGACTTCGTGAATTCGCCATATTTACTTGCTCACCCGGAACATATCTTTGCTAGCGAGCACGATAATTATCTTTCTGCTCACGGTAAGCCTATTTTATAAGTGTACAAACATAGAGCAGTTTGCTTTTGGTTAGGTCGTCATATTAATTCAAAAAACAACACAAAAAAGAACGGCAATAAAGCGTACCGTTGAGAATTGTAAACGCGCTTTTTCATCGTGGATAAATATCAGCAATGGCAGACGTTTTTTTAATACTCACGCAATTCGTTGAAGATTCCACTCGAAGTGTCGCGTAATTTGAAAAATTTGCTTCCTATTTTATCCACGGAAATTAGTGAAAATTAAATTTCACGTTTGCATCTAACCACGTCAAAGAGCATATTAAATTCGATAATCCGATTTCGTCCCGTTTTATCCCGGTATTTGGGGAGGAACGACTTTCCTTTTGAACGAACAGGCCGAGAGAATTTTTTTTGCAACATTTCTCATGATAATCCTCTGAAGAAGGAAAAAACGTTAAAAAAGATTGAAAGCAAACGAGGATACGAGAAAAGCCACGCCAGATTTTCGCGCACATGATATTAACACCGATTATTCGCGTCGCAATTTCTCGTGATTTCCATTCGTGTGGTTTACCGTGTATCCGACACGATGGTAAATTAGATGCGTTCGAGACGCACGACTTGTCATAAATAGATGTATGTATTTAGAAGGTCGATGAGCGAAGTGACAGTTAGGGGAACCGACGCGCTACGGCGCGACTGCGGCACAATTAAAATCAATTTTTGAGCTCTACTCACACTCGCTCTTAGCAGCAGTTGATAAAAAGGTCTCTCCCTGTAGTCAAGTGGCTGTCGTAACACCAGAGCGCCCACGTACGCGTTCTGTTTCTTCTCCACGTTCACTATGCCGAACTTTTCGCAGGCGTCGAGGAACTGTAACAGAAACATCATATTGACCGTGCATCGATCAGCTCCTATTGGTGCTTCTGAATATCCGTGTTCTATCACAATGCCTTCGAGCTATCGGGTAGAAACCTGTCGGTAACCGAAATCTTTTATCGGCGTTCAATGACACGACTACGGTGATACGCTGTTAAACGACGCGGTGTGATTTAACGTTTAACTGGTCGATTAAATCGAGACGGGACCGTAAAACGTTATTTTGAGAATTTGTTTATGCGTTAAATGTTATGGAAGCTGGTGATGGTTAGTGGTGATATAATCGGTGAACGGTTATGGACTTTAGATGATAATGTTTAGAGAAATTTTTAGAAATGTGCAAGGTATTTATCCATTTCGTTATTATTCATTTAATATTAGAATTATCCGATTTGTAACGAGTAGCTATATATACTGCACACAGATGATAATAATTTTAATGGCACGATGGAGATAATTTTGTCAAAAGTATTTGCATATTTTCCATAATTGCAAAAATAAAATACCTAACAAAGTTATTTTGACTCGTGTAGTAATTCTAGTGTTAAGAATGAAGGCATTACCGACAAGTATTACAGATCCTAGTGATTTATGTCGGTATTGAAGAAACGTACGTGTAAACGTCTAGTATTTTATATGATTCATCAAGTTTATATTTCATATATTAAATATCGTACGTGTATATGTATATTATTTATGTTTAGTAAATATCATGTATGAACAAAAACTTAAAAATTTATATATTATATTCAGTCACGAATATTAAAGTATATTATCTTAGGAATTATTTAACATTTATTTGCACAGTACTTTATTTTAACAGTTTCGATAATATTCGTGCCATTTTAAAGGTGACACTGACAAGAGTAGGACACCTAACCTTAAACGATAAATTAAAGAGTGCACGTTACTTAATACCTTTCACAAACTTACTTCTGTTGATCGGATCTTATAACTAATCTAACTTTTGTAATTATTGCTAACGTAGTTATACACATTCTTTAATCGTTTATACCAATTTATTTTTCAAAAACATAAATTCTGTTTTCGAATAAATATTTAAATTTGAACCACTCTGCAAACGATTAAAAAAAGAAATTGTATTTTTTATTTGTTTATTATTTTCACAAAATGTATTTGTAAACCAATAACATGACAAAAATTGCTATTTACAATACTTATTGGCGATTTGTAATATTCATATCGTCGATAAAATGATTACTTCTATTTTATTTGTAAAATGGATGCATTCTAGTCTTATATTTTCTACATATCGTATATTATATAATTATATACCAAATATATATAACTATATATAAATAAAATATATAGAATATGTAACTGTATACTAATATCATATTAGTGTACAATACTATAATTGCATATTCTAGAGTAAATACAGTATATTTTTTCTGTTCATTGTCTATTTAAAATATATTTAAAATATATTTATAATCTATTTAAAATATAAAGTATAATAAACAAATTATACCAAGTGCTAAATTATTAGATACTTAGTAGGTGTATTCTGTATATTACCTATAGCATTTTTGAATATATTTTCGTTTCTTGTACTAGATAGAGAATCTAGTAAGATGGGATTTCTTTTTCCTTTAAATTGTCTTTGGATTTGATGTATGGATTTTTGTCACCGACTGTACGTGTCCATTATATTGGAGCTGGTACAGTCCTATACACAACAAAAACATGTCAGTATTCCCTCTGAGGAAATATAATAGACCAACAATTTCAATATTAATTGATAATAAATATCGAGAATGGAAATAACTTTAGATAAATAATATTAGATGGACACAACTGTTCAATTGAATTAAATTGTTTTTATGTATTTGTTTCAATTGAGTTATTTCAGAAAAATTCCAATTTTCAATTTCCAATAGTTTATTTATTTTTCACACACTGATAAAGAATATTCATATTTTAGAATGCACGAAAATATCTCCTTCCAATTGGTTCTTATATTTTTCCATTATATACGTTTCATCGGTGTATTTTTGGTATTCGATTAAAACGGAAACGCGAACGTTTTTGACCCCGTGAGCAATTTTCGACGAATCAACACCTGCGTTAAAAAAAAAAAAGAAAAAAAAAATGAAAAAGCAAAGAAAAAAGAAAGAAATAAACTGTTGAGAAAATGGGATTGAATACGCGATCGTTTTCCCATTTATTTCCCCGCAAGGACGATCACCTTTAACGATAACCATTCTTAACGTTGCGTTTTAATAACCCGGAGAATTAATGGAAAATTCGACTATTTTGTAAATGATACGGGCATTGTAAACATTAGTTACGTTTAATGACCGTGGGCGCCGTGCGTTCCACGGTCTGTGTAAAACGAAAAGAGGCATTAAAGTTCGCCGCCGTAAAGCCAGCGGGCCATTAGTTAAAAGGTTTTACAGTTTTATTGGTCGTCTAACGGCCCCGTGAATTTATCGAGCGGATATGACGTAGAGGGTATGCGTCCACGTGCTAATATTCCAACCGCATCCTTTGCGATCGTCGCGTAGAAATGGCAAGGCTAGATAATTTCCGCGTACCCACATGATAAACGTATCGGGTATATTTCGAATAGAATGCGGCCACCATTTTTCTCGCGATTTGATCGTTTAAAAGCCACCCACGGTATGCTACCCGTTATCGATCCTAAAACACGATACGAGCGTTTTCACGCGACATATATTTTGAAAACGCGCGCCACCCGAGGCCACGCCCCCCTTGCTATCGAGCGCCAAGCAAACACGGAAGTTGAAAAATTTCAAGTATACCGTCGCGCCTCGCGAAATACCCTCTGACTTTATGACACACCGGTAACGTCGAGGAAGGAGTTGTTACGAGTTACGAGCAAATGTTTGACGCCACTCTGCACCCAATATTAAGGGCTGTTGCGAAAACATCCTTATCCATTCGATAGGACCCCTTCCGATTTTTCCATTTCGATAGCAGCGTTTCTTGCCTAACACGAATATTTAGATGCATTTTTTGATTCTCTCTAGAGGAATATATTGAGTGGATATATAAAATCAAGCAAACTATTAGGGGTGCAAAATAATGGAAATGAAAGAATAGTTAGTATAAATAAATAATATAGTACTACTTTGGGTCAATTATACCTAATTTTATAATATACGCAAATTTGTAACTGGAAGATATACATGGTGTGCTATTCAAACTGATCATTAGGTGATGCGAAATAATAGAAATCAAAGATTAATTAGTATAAATAAATAATACAGTATTATTTCTGGATTAGTTATTCGTTATATTATTAATATTAAATAAATTAAATTAGTAAAGTAAATTTATTATCATTTAAGTAAAGTGAATTATATATTATATTATTCAAACGATATATTAGATGATATTTATTAATCATTAATGTTTAGGTTATATTATATTGGACAATTAAATATTTAACTAGCAAGCTTAATACTCCCGATAATTTTGAGGTACGCACTTTCAAATATTAATTAGAAATTGTTTTCAATATATCGTTAATTAGTGAGGATTTTAATACGAGGCAGATTCCGTTAAGATGTATAGTGAAAATAATGTTGTCGCCTATATTAATCATGTTGTCAAGCTCTTCAGACAAAAATATTATTATAAATTCAATTAAATTCTTGAATTAAATTGAAATTAATTCCTGGCCTCGTGTGTATTTATCTAGGTATATACTACTCCTCGAAAGTGTCCAACTACTCGTTTACCTTTGAGGTGGTAAAATTTAATACTAAAAGTTCAAATCAAATAAACTGTAATGATTTTATCATTTATTACTAACATTTTTATATTTACTAAAATATTATAATGTACATATTATGATGAATAATAGAATATTATAACGTATTGAAATTACTGTTATAAACAATTAAAATAAGTAATAACAGAATTAACATCTACATGTGTTATCTTATGTGTTATCTTATGACTGTATTTCGTTATTTAGAAATGTATATACAAAATAATTATAGTTTTCAAATGCACTTGTTACTATTAATAAGATAAACTATTATTTTTAAACTAATGGAGAAAACATTATCGTCAATTTCAACAATAATATTTAACAACATTTTATTATTATTTAATATATCACGATATAACAATAATGTATAATAATATTTGATGTATTTATGTATAATACATTAACGTACATAAATTAAACAATAAACATTAAAAATTTACAATGTACATACATACTCCATAAAAATTTAGTTTTAATTTAATTATTAACTTATGCAGTTTAATAAAATAAATAATGCGTTCACTTATAAAAATAGAATTAACAAGAGATAATGTGTATTGAATTTTTGTTTAGAAATTGGAAGTAATTATAAAGAAGCAAATGACTTGAACATTATTTAGCAAGTAATTTATAAAGTCTTTTATAAAATAGTTCATCAAGTATCTTATAAATTTATAAGATAATAATAGTAATTTATCTTATAAAATATTTTATAAAGTATTTATAAAATATAGCAGAATATTAATATATTAATTAGCATATTAGTAGTGTATTAGTTAGTATATTAATATATTAGTATATTATTATCAGTACATTAGCATTTGTGTATTAATTAATATCTTATTATATTAGTACATTTTCTATCGAATTTCCTTGCAACTGCTCAATATTTAACATGTATGAGAACAAGAATTTGGAGTGAATGTGAATAACCAGTGACAGAGTCTGTAAGGGTAGGGATGTGCGGAAAGACTAAGCGCCTGGGATTAGGGGGTAGAAGAGAAGTGCATGGTCACCCAAGGTTTTAGGTGGAGGTGACTACACATGTCCTGAGAAGGTCTGCTTAGTCTGTCTGGGATGAGTGAAAGAGACTGTGAAATAGAAAAAGAAGAGAATTGTAGGAGATAGTACCTCGAATGAAATTCAGTATAAAAATTATTCCGTTTTCACATTTTTTAAAAATATTAAATTAAATATTAAATTAAATATACATTATCGTTTCTTCTACAAA